ACTATTTTTTTGAAATTGAATTCGAAATGAAATGACGATTGTACATACAGAAAAAATAGATGTGTGTGTGTCAGATTTATATATTTTAACCGTTATATTCCATGGATGCTAGAGCATCCACGTCAAATATGAGCATTTTTTTACCAAATGATTTTTTGTGAGTAAACTTTCGACGAAATCCTTGTCTATGATGAAAGTACATGATGTGCGTTCTCTAAATATAATTCCAGCAATTAAATTTCCAGTTGGAAATTCCGCTAAACCATAAAAAAAAGAAATGGAAACACGCATGGAATATTTTCAAGCAACATTATTGCAAAAGTATGAATGAATTCTTTCGAAGCAATAAAAAAAATAAAATTTATACATATATATATATATATATATATATATAAATATAAATTAATTAAAAAAATGTATATATATATATATTAAAAAAATGTACAATGTACTACAAAAGTTAAATAAAAACTTTTCTTTAATCCACATCGGTGTAATATGAGAAAGTTATTATAGTGTGCAGTACACTTTTTTTGTTTTTAGGCCATAACTTTTTTTAGGGTTAACATAGACTTTTTTGGTATTAGAAACCTAAAATCTAGATACTTTTTTTAATAAAATGGTATCAATACTCTTTCAATAAACACCATAACACAATTTTTATAAATGTTTATACTATATAATATACATTTATTTATTAAATTTTGGAGTTAATTTTTCTTTAGTGTCCAGACTACAAATTTATTTATCTATTTATTTTTTATTTATTCATTTATTTATAAATTCTGAACACAAAAATATTCATACTGTTTTCTTCTACTCTACTTAATTTTTATTTCAATTATCAGAGCATTTACTCATAAAAAAACACACAAATTTTTTATTTCGATCGATATTATCGAATTAGTCAATCAGTCAATTTTATGCGTCTCACGCATTTAAAACTTTCTTAATTTTTTACGCACTGAATAATAAGTGAATTAACAAAAATAAAAATGAGAATAGTTTGAGAATACTTTCTTTTGAAATATGTAACAGAAAAAAATTGGTTAAAATAAATTGAAATGTTGGTAAAACACTTCCTAACACACTTGGTCACTTACAAAATTTTATTTATATGGATCTAGCTATTTAAAAAACGTACTTTTTTTTAGTTTTTTGAACGCAACTTTTTTTAAGACTTTGATAGAACATTTGGGTATGAGACTTATAAAATCTAGATAAAATTTCCTATACAATGGTATATAAATTGTTCATATTATACCACTAACTGATATTCTATATATACCTAAACTTTGTATTTGCAAAAAAATTAGAGTGGGTCAATTACCCACCGCACTTTTTCAGTTTTTTGATTGTAACTTTTTTCACAGTTAAGAACTTTTGGCTCTTAGATTTCTAAAATCTAGACAAAATTTGCTAAAAACTGACATCTTTAAAATTTTTGTAAACATTTCAAAAAAAAAAAATAAGTACCATAATTTTAAGTCTATTTTTTCTTAGCAATTTACCCATGTAATTTACTTCTGACTAAGGTGTAATAACAAAGGTTAATGATCCATTAACTATTCTAAAACACACAAATTAACCTTATTTTATTACCATGTCAACATTTAGTTATGATTTACAACCTTTCTCTCTAAAAGTCGCAGCAAATAAAAAAAAATCAACTCGTCGTCGTAAATATTTGTGTTAATTGAGACATTAAGGAAACGGAAACATTTACTGTTAAAAATAATAAAAAATAGTCAAAGGTAATAATATAATAAAAAAATAGACTAGTTGGTAATAAATTATTTATAAATATCTCTAGTACTTGGTAAAAAAAAATTGGTAAAGAATTTTAGTTTGTATGTATTAAGAATAGTTCGGTTTTACGATTTGTTTTCTCCCACTTAGCAAAATTTTTTTTTCAAAGTTTTTTTGTATAATTAATGTAATAAAACCAATCCATTAATTCGTTACAAATTAATTCAAAAATCGACCTAAATAATTAAAATCGTTCCACAAAATCATTTCGATGCGTGAGTGAAATTATGTTACATCGAATTCAATGAACAATCGATTTAAATATCGTCACGATAATCGATACCGTTATTTGAAATCGATATATCGATTAAATGTATATTACATTTAATAAAACAATACGACAATGTATTTTAGTGCAATAAAATGAAGTTGTAAAAACATTTTAATGCAGAACAAACTTACTTGTGGATTTTTTTTTGCAAATATTATGTTTGAGAGCTTGTAGCAAGTGTAGTAAAATTTTTGTTGAAATTTTAAATATACTATTTTATAGGTATTATAAAAGCTCAAAACTTGGATATGTCATACCTTGGACACTTGTTTAAATATTAAAAATGTTACATGTATTAAATTTGTCAAATTCATAAATTTATATACGATTTTCTTACGCGAATCCTGCAATTATTCTATTGATTAGAACAAAATTGATTTGGGATTTAGAAAATTCATTAAAAGCCAAATATTTATTATAAAAGCCCAAAATTTGGATATGTTATACCTAGAGCAGTATTTTAAATTCTGAAAATATAAAATATGTAAACTTTGTCATATTCATAAATTCATAGACAATTTTCTTAAGCAACTCTTGAAAACGTTCTTTTGACTCGATTAAAATTTTAACATTCAGTTCTTTCTGAAAAATTGATACCAGATTTTAAAAATTCATTTCTCGTAAAATATTTATTATAAAAGCTCAAAATTTGGATATGTTTTACCTAGGACACTATTTTAAATATTAAAAATATTACACTTATTAAATTTGTCAAATTCATAAATTTATAGACGATTTTCTTACGCGAATCCTGCAATTATTCTATTGATTGGAACAAAATTGATTTGGGATTTAGAAAATTCATTAAAAGCCAAATATTCATTATAAAGGCCCAAAATTTGTATATGTTATACCTAGAGCAGTATTTTATATTCTGAAAATATAAAATATGTAAACTTTGTCATATTCATAATTTTATAGACAATTTTCTTAAGCAACTCCTGAAAACGTTCTATTGACTCGAGTAAAATTTTAACATTCAGTTCTTTCTGAAAAATTGATACCAGATTTTAAAAATTCATTTCTCGCAAAATATTTATTGCAAAAGCCCATAATTTGGATATGTCATACCTTGGACACTTGTTTAAATATTAAAAATGTTACATATATTAAATTTGTCAAATTCATAAATTTATAGACGATTTTCTTACGCGAATCCTGCAATTATTTGGGAACAAAATTGATTTGGGATTTAGAAAATTCATTAAAAGCCAAATATTTATTATAAAAGCCCAATATTTGGATATGTTATACCTAGGACACTATTTTAAATACTAAAAATATTAAACATATTAAATTTGTCGAAGTCATAAATTTTTAGACGATTTTCTTAAGCAACTCTTGAAAACGTTCTTTTGACTCGATTAAAATTTTAACATTCAGTTCTTTCTGAAAAATTGATACCAGATTTTAAAAATTCATTTCTCGTAAAATATTTATTATAAAAGCTCAAAATTTGGATATGTTTTACCTAGTACACTATTTTAAATATTAAAAATATTACACTTATTAAATTTGTCAAATTCATAAATTTATAAACGATTTTCTTACGCGAATCCTGCAATTATTCTATTGATTGGAACAAAATTGATTTGGGATTTAGAAAATTCATTAAAAGCCAAATATTTATTATAAAAGCCCAAAATTTGGATATGTTATACCTAGGACACTACTTTGAATATTAAAAATATTAAACATTTAAAATTTGTCATTCATAAATTTATGAGCAATTTTCTTAAGCAACCCCTGAAAACGTTCTTTTGACTCGAGTAACATTTTAACATTCAGTTCTTTCTCAAAATTGATACCAGGTTTTAAAAATTCATTTCTCGTAAAATATTTATTATAAAAGCTCAAAATTTGGATATGTTTTACCTAGGACACTATTTCAAATATTAAAAATATTACACTTATTAAATTTGTCAAATTCATAAATTTATAGACGATTTTCTTAAGCGAATCCTGCAATTATTCTATTGATTGGAACAAAATTGATTTGGGATTTAGAAAATTCATTAAAAGCCAAATATTTATTATAAAAGCCCAAAATTTGGATATGTTATACCTAGGGCACTACTTTGAATATTAAAAATATTAAACATTTAAAATTTGTCATTCATAAGTTTATGAGCAATTTTTTTAAGCAACCCCTGAAAACGTTCTATTGACTCGAGTAACATTTTAACATTCAGTTCTTTCTCAAAATTGATACCAGATTTTAAAAATTTATTTCCCGGAAAATATTTATTATAAAAGCTCAAAATTTGGATATGTTTTACCTAAAACACTCGTTTAAATATTAAAAATGTAAAATATGCAGAATTTGTCAAATTCATAAATTTATAGACGATTTTCTTACGCGAATCCTGCAATTATTCTACTGACTTGAACAAAATTGATTTGGGATTTAGAAAATTCATTAAAAGCCAAATATTTATTATAAAAGCCCAAAATTTGGATATGTTATACCTAGAGCAGTATTTTAAATTCTGAAAATATAAAATTTGTAAACTTTGTCATATTCATAAATTTATAAATAATTTTCCTAAGCAACTGAAAAAATGTAGATAGATAGATTTCAGTTCACACTCGACTTTTTTTCACACGTACTACGTTTTATAATTTGTAGAATATTTTTCGGAATGCGCCAGACAATTTTTCAAAAATCTGGGCCACCAAAAATAAATTTCACTCGTCCAAACATCCACGAATCCAATAAGAATTTAATTTAAATCCAATTAGAATCCAAGGCACGTCCGATCCTTATTTGTAGTCAAATCATTCGGTATATGAACGGAGTTGCTGGTCGAAAAATTGACATTGTTAAAAGATCCTTTGAAGTGAATTGACGATCAATAATTGATAAAATTATTGACAAATTTATTAATTGAAGTGTTGGTTAAATTTGTTGGTTGCTATTATGGCTGGTGCTAAATTTTTGGTGGTCTTTTTGGTGGTTTTTAGTGTTTTGGTGCAGAATGGATGGAGTGCTGCTGTTCCTGAAGGAAAAACTGATGTTTCAGGTGAGATAAGGGATGGAAATGAAAATTTAGTACTAGGGGTTGTAGTTTGAGGTTTAAACTTTTTTTGCGTATATAATTTATTATAGGTTTTTGTTACGGATTTGAAATTATGAATAGTTTTGTAAAGGCGTGCACTTTTTTGTTTGTATAGTTTGTTGAAGTACTCGTCTTACGAAAATTGTACATAAATTTAACATCTTGATAAATTTAATATGTTTAATATTTTTAATATTTAAACAAGTGTTTTAGGTACAACATATCCAAATTTTGAGCTTTTGCAATAAATATTTTGCGAGAAATGAATTTTTAAAATCTGGCATCAATTTTGAGAAAGAACTGAATGTTAAAAATTTTACTCGAGTCCATAGAACGTTGCTTAAGAAAATTGCTCATAAATTTATGAATTTGACAAATTTTAAATGCTTAATATTTTTAATATATAAAATAGAGTCCTAGTTATAACATATCCAAATTTTGGGCTTTTATAATAAATATTTGGCTTGTAATGAATTTCCTGAACCCCAAATCAATTTTGTTCAAGTCAACAGAATAATTGCAGGATTCGCGTAAGAAAATCGTCTATAAATTTATAAATTTGACAAATTTTAAATGTTTCATATTTTTAGTATTTAAAATAGTGTCCTAGGTATAACATATCCAAATTTTGAGCTTTTATAATAAATATTTGGCTTGTAATTAATTTTCTAAATTCCAAATCAATTTTGTTCAAGTCAATAGAATAATTGCAGGATTCGCGTAAGAAAATCGTCTATAAATTTATGAATTTGGCAAATTTTAAATGTTTAATATTTTTAATATTTAAACAAGTGCCCTAGGTATGACATATCCAAATTTTGGGCTTTTATAATAAATATTTGGCTCATTATGAATTTTCTAAATCCCTAATCAATTTTGTTCAAGTCAATAGAATAATTGCAGGATTCGCGTAAGAAAATCTTCTATAAATTTATAAATTTGACAAATTTAATATGTGTAATATTTTTAATATTCAAAATAGTGTCCTAGGTATAACCTATCCAAATTTTGGGCTTTTGCAATGAATATTTTGCGAGAAATAAATTTTCAAAATTTGGTATCAATTTTAAGAGAAAAATGAATGTTAAAATTTTACTCGAGTCAATAGAACGTTTTCAGAGGTTGCCTAGGAAAATTGCTCATAAATGTATAAATTTGACAAATTTTAAATATTTAATATTTTTAATATTTAAACAAGTGTTTTAGGTATAACATATCCAAATTTTGGACTTTTATAATAAATATTTGGCTTGTAATAAATTTTCTAAATCCCAAATCAATTGTGTTCAAGTCAATAAAATATGCAGGATTTGTGTAAAACTTGTGTAAAATTTTAAATGTTTTATATTTTTAATATTTGAAGAAGTATCTTAGGTAATAAATATTTAAATTTGGGCCATGTACAACAAATATTTGAGAAGAAAGAATTTTTTAAAATCCGGTATCAATTTTGCTCGAGTCAATCGTCAGGGCATTGCTTAAGAATATTATTTAAACCCTAATGAAATTGACGAATTTAATATGCTTAATATTTTTAATATTTAAAGAATCATATTAGGTATCACTTGCTTGAATTTGGGATTTTCACAATAAATATTTCAAAAGAAATTAATGTTTGAATTCCGGTATTAATTTTGCTGAACGATTGCCGAAGTCGCTTAAGAAAAGTATTAATTTACTAAATTAAAATATTAAGATTTTTTACTAAATACCAAAAAAATCTAGAAAGAACTATCTATTAAATGACACCAATCACGTTTATCTAAGATTTTTTTGTAAAAATCCTAAAAATATTTCAAATCTGACAAAAAATCCACTGTGTTGCTCATAGCTTTGGTAAAGAGTGCTGCGTTTAATTTTATTTGTGCAATTTTTTGCAAAACAAAACCAGAAAAAACTATCTTAGCCTAAAGAATCTAGATGAAATTACCTACCAATTGATATAAAGAACTTTAAAAACAACATATGCCCTATTATTGACTTTATCGTCTCCAAAATCACAAAATCAAAATCCAATTTATCAACCAATCAAATTCTCAGATCAACTTCATATTTTTTGAGTTTAATAATTAATTTTTTTTGTTTTTTTTTCTAGAAAGTAGAACTTTTGGCCACCACTTCCTAAAACGTGTAAGTTTTGCCATAATTCCAGCAGCTTTCGTGGTCGGTGTCACGACCACACTTTTGGCAACGCTGACAGTCATGTCGATGAAAGGTTTGGGAATCGGTGTGCTGTTACTGATTTTAGGATTATCACAGGTAAAAAATAAGAATTCGAAGTCGTTTTATTCAAAACTTTTATATCGGAGGGTATAAAAGTGTTTTATAGGAAATGTTGTAAATTTTATCTAGTTTCACCCTGTCTAACTGAAAAGAGATGGTTTCATATAGAATTTTTGAGTCATTTGACAAAAACCCAAAAAAAATGATCCGAATTTTCTATATTTATTGCTAAAGAATGTAATATCGAATTCAAAGTCGTTTTATTCCAAACTTTTATATCGGAGTGTATAAAAGTGTTCTCTACGAAATGTTGTAAATTTTATCTAGTTTCATATTTTATTATCTGGTTTATTATTTTTTTTTAGGTAATTGCTAAAACTCTACCATTCGCCCACCCAGCTCCTGCACCAGCAGCAGTTCCTCTGGTTTACCATTCTAGGAGTGAACCTTTGTGGTTAAAAGACGAACCAGTTCATTTGGAACCAGTTCCATATTTGGACCATTAGTTGAAGATTAAATTAATTTATTTATTTGCAAATTTAAGTATTTATTTTTGATAAATAATAATAAAATTTGGATTGATCATCCTTCGGTTTGTTTTTGTCTAGAAAAGGTGACGATACAAATTTGCAGATTATTTAGAAAATCATTGTTTTTCACATGGGCAGTTATACGTTGTCTGTTCACGACTTGGAAAACCATCCGCTTTGTTTGTGTTAACGTCAGACCAAAAAACAAAAAATGTAGTTTACCAAAGAGCACTTCAATGAAACGGATAATTTGCGGATTCACTTTCATTTACTTAGAGAAGTTCAACTAAAAAACACTTCATTTTTGTAATCGAAATGAATTCATTACCGTTGTGTAATAAAATCAAATTTTTCCTTTTCAAATATAAAACAAACAAAAAATTTCTTCATCTTTCTCACGAAACCATCTGGGTGGCGAAACGGAGTTCGTCGGGTTTGCTAGTCTTTTATAACTTTCAAACCGTTTGTCTAAAGTAGATGCAATCTATTTTAAACAAATCTATTTAAAATTAAATTATCTATGATATTGTCTAATATTATAATGCCCTACAACAACTCGGTATACTTTAAAATTGCAATTGAATACAGACTTAATTCAAATATACATAGTGGAACAATGTTTCTAGTGCAAGTACGTGAATTGGCATGCATTGATTTACTATATATTTTATAACTTTTGAACTGTTCGTTTAATATTAATTTAATATATGGCAAATTTGTTTAAAATTGAATAATCTATAATATTGTCTAATATTCCCTTCAGCAACTTGGTATACTTAAAAATTACATTTGAACATGTAATATCAACTCCTAGTCATATTTACATTGCGCAACTTTTTGGTGCAAGTGTTTATTGTAGCTCTTGTAACTTTTGAACGATTTGTTTTATATAAATACAGTATTTTGCAAATTTGTTTCAAATTAAACAATCTATAATATTGTCCAATATTATAAATTCCTAGAGCAATTTGATATACTCTAAAATTACAATTGAATACAGACTTTGTGGAACAATGTTTCTAGTGCAAGTACGTGAATTGTCATGCTTTTATTTGCTTATAATTTGTAACTTTTGAACTGTTTGCTAAATATTAATGTAATATATGGCAAATTTGTTTAAAATTGAATAATCTTTAACATTGTCTAATATATTGTAGTTCTAGAGCAACTCTGTATACTTTAAACTTGCCTTCAAGCTTAGATTTTGTTTTTAAATTTTTTTGTATTCTTGTACGAGTTCGAGTTTCACAGTAATTTTTTTTGGTTTTTAAATCATAACTTTTTGATGGATAAAAATAGAATATTTTGGTCTTAGAGGAATAAAATCTAGACAAAATTATTTAAAACTTTTATTAATGACAATTTTTCCATATATAGTACTGAAAGTGAATTACAAGTTCAAAAATAATGATTAATATAAAATTAATAAAATTATAAAATAGACTTTTTTATTTCAGTATATTGTACTATTCGATTTGAATAAATGTATTCAGAATCATTGATCATAAAAATAAAATAATGCATATTTTATTCATCATAAAACACTTTTTTATATGACAATTTTTTCTCATAAAAGAAAACAGAATCTAATTCCCATAGCGTGTCTTGAATTTTTCAGACTCAAGAGTTTTCTTTACAAAAGCCTTTATTATTTATTCCCATATTGTCAACTACAGTTGAATTTGACCTGATATAGTTCTATTATTATTTTATTATTATATTATTTAGTAGAAAATATAATTATAGACACGAACAAGTGAAACTTAGATCTTCTTGAACTCGAACACGATATAAAATACTACAGTTAAAATTATCAGACCGGAGAGACGTGAAATTATGTGAAATTCTTAAATAAATATAGAAGATTTATGATTAAATGTTAAATATTTATTGAAATTAGTGTACGGAACAAATATTTCGCGATTTTGGGTAATAAAATTTGAGCCCGGTGTACTAGTTATAAGGCGGCAAAGTTTGGATAAACATTTTACAAATTGTGGGTGCAATATTTACCATATCTTGTGTAAACGATTGATTGTATATACCTAACATATTCCGCAAATTTGTTTAGAATTAAATTATCAATAATATTTTCTAATACTACAATACTCTAAAGCAACTCAGTATACTCTAAAATAGCAGCACAAAATACATTATAAAATTAATACTCGGATAAATTAATTCAAGCGCATCACTAGCTTAAATCATTCGTAAATCTCAAATCATTTGATTAATATAAATAATGTCTGAGACAAATTTGTTCACAATTGAACACTCTATAAATTTCTCTAATAACAAAATGTCCTACAACAACTCGATATACTTAAAAAAAAGCCCCCAAAAATATTATTTTAACCAAATTGTTTCTGGCAACATAAATTTACGAATTGCCTCATTATGAGTATATAAATCCGTAAAGTTCTTGAACTAAATTTGTAAATTTCCTTGCAAATTTTTAAGTAATTTATAAAACAGTTTCTGTGTCGATTCTCACGCTGTTTTATTAGCAATTTCACGACAAAAACAACAATAACAATAACAACAAAAGTCCTCTTGTATGCACTTTTTTTTAAAGCCATTAACATTAATGCATTCAGAATGCAGAGGAAACATAAATAATATAATGAAAGAGCTAGTAGAAGATTTACTTAACATATTTTATACATAGAAAAAAAAAATCACTTATGTAAACTAAATTTTTGCAGTTTTTCTATTATAACTTTTTACTGGATCAATTTCGATTGTTTTGGTCTAAAGGTGAAAAAACGTATATAAAATTTGCTAAAACTTTTATTTAAGACTATTTTTGCATATATAGCCAGAAAAACAAGTTATAAGGTCCAGAATTCGGAATTTCTAGTCTTTCTGATGAGTATTTTGCAGTGGCCTATATCTCATTAATAAATTGCACGACTTAAATTTATTGCAGGTTTTTAATCTCAATTTTAAAGCACACCGAATTGCTTTAGGATGCTATATTATTAGACAAAATTAAAAACAATTTTTTTCTGAATACTTTCTTCTAATATTCAATTTAAATTAGATGAATAATTTAAAAGTTACAAGAGATATAATGCATAAATGCAAAAACTAGTAAGTTCACTAACATGCATTGGCGACTTGAAATAATTTGATTTCAATCACAATTTTAAAGGATACCGAATTGCTTTAGGGTGATATATTATTAGACAAAAATAACAATTTAATTCTAAGTATTTTCTTCTAATATTCAATTTAAATTAGATAAATATTTTAAAAGTTACAAAAAATGCATAATTGTAATAAAGCCCTGAACAATTTTTGTTCTTTATGCTAAAACTTCTTAATTTTTTAACAATTTTTTTACAAATTGGCTTAAGTTTATATGTTAGCAAATTTGCATAATATACAATATATTATGTATTAAAAATTATTATAATATTATATATCAAGTTTTTTTTAATATAAATCGACATTAGGTCAAATAAACTTAATAAACTAATTTCTGTACCCGTTATGAGAAAGTTGTTCCTGTTCAAGAAAGAAGATTAATTCCTCTTGCAAATCTTTACATAGACTTAGAAATTTATATATATATATATATATATATATAAATCTGTATAAATATATCTAAAACCCACGTAAATTATTATAGACTTATACAGAATCTAAACTTGTTTTTCTGATTTAAAATTGTGACAAAGTTACAAAACTTTCCGTGAAAAACTTGTTTTTTAGCAAATTTAAATTTTTTTTTGGTTGTGGTATATTGGTCAAATAATGAATATATTATTAATTGAACTTGATAAAAATTAGTGGACAAATATTGTAAGAAGCTTCTATAAAAGAGACAATAATTTACGAATTAATTTTAAATTTATAAATAAATTTTTATTCTTCAAATATACTTTTACGATATAATTGTTTGTATTAAAATATTTTTTTATGAATATTTTATTCATTAATGTGTCCTTAATTGAGTTCCATTTTTTTAAAATTAAACTTTCAAATAAATTTTAAAATTTTTTACATTTTTATATCTAAAATTTTTTTCCGGAAAATGTTTAATTTATTGCAAAAGTTCTTACGTTTGCATTAAAATTTTATTCTAAAGATTTGTAAAAAAATATTTTTTTCCATAGATTTTGTGTAAAAGTAATTTCCCATATCATTTTCTATGTACAATTTAATTATTTACTAATTTAGTGAAAGCTAAAAATAATTATTAATAATTGCAAAATTAGTACAAATTTCATAGTTCATTAATTTAATTTTCATTTCGATTTAATTAGTAATTATTTGCTTGAAGAACTTCAACTTTCTTTCTAAAAACTTTTACAAAAATTAAGAAAAATAATTATATATATAATACTTAAATAAAAAATATATAGCTAAATAACCCTTGAAAAAATTGTCTCAAAAATTGTGTTAAAAAGTGCAAAATGTTGTAAAATTAGTATTTAAAACAAAATCTTATAACCATATCAGTTTATAAACAATTTTATATCTTACCATATAATTTTTACACGTTTATTTATTTATAAACAATATATTTAAACAACAATAAACAAATTATAGTGTATTGAACTTTTGAACTATTAAATAATAATAAAATCTTCTATGAAGTGACTCGACAAAATAGTTGAATAGCTTTTTGTTATATAAAACCGCACAAAAAACAAATAATTGTTATATAAATTATTTATAACACTACATAAAATTATTTATAACGTTATAAATCATTTGTTGAAAGATTTATAATAGATTTATTGCACTTTATAAAAATAACACAAACTATAATGGTAGAACAAATTGTAAAAAATTGGTTTAGTAATATAAAAATCTAATTCTCAGTTCGAAGAAATTAAAAAAATGTCAAATCCCAAATCACAAATTATTTAAAAAATGTGAAAAGTATCTGCAGTATTTTTTGAGAATTTTATTATCAATTTACTCGTTTTTAAGAAAATGTTTAAAAGTATCAAATCAGACTAAAA